GAATGGAGGAACTTTAGATAGGGCAAAGGGGAGGGAGGAGAAAGGAGAGGGCAAAGAGGTAGGAAAGACAGTGTAATGAGTTAGACATCATTCCCCTAAGTACATGTATGAAGGACACAAATGGTGTGAGAATACTTTTTATACAACCAGTGACTTGAAATTGTGCTCTATATGTGTAATATAAAATGAATTGCATTCTGCCACCATGTATAACAAATGAGAATAAATAAATAATTTAATAAAGAAAGAAAATTGTTCTGTCAGAACTTTTCTCTTGTCAGTTCCAAGCACCTGATTACAATGGAGACAAAACCAAATAATTTCTTTTTAAAATATTTTTATTTTTTTATTCAGATCTGATTGACAAATACAATTACATACACACACACACACACATGAAGTGTGAAATGTGATGATTTGATATATATATCTGTGAATGAACTCCATCATCAAATTAATTAATACATCTACCACCTCCCATAGTTATATTTTTGTTTGTTTATGAAAGAATGATTAAAATCTGTTCTCTTAGCAAATTGTAAGTGTACAGGTTTTATTAACTATAACCATAATGTGGTACATTTTATCCTCAAAACTTATTCAATATGTAACTTATGGTAGTACCCTTGGACCCCTATCTCTCCATTTCTTCCACCCTGCAGCTCCTGGCAAATACCGTTCTTTTTGCTTATCGCATGAATTCACTGTTTTTTAAAGATTTCCATGTGTAAGTAACATCATACAGTATTTGTCTTTTTCTGTTTGATCTATTTCATTTAGCACAATGCCTATCTAGTTCTTTTATGCTGTTACCAATGGCAGAATTTCCTTCTTTCATGTAGTGGAATAATATTAATAATATTCACACACGCACACACAATTTTCTTATCTATTTAGGCATTCTTGGACATTTCAGTTGATCCTATGTCTTGGCTTTTATGAATAATGCTGTAATAAACAGTGGAGTGCAGAAAACTTCCTTTTCTTTTGCTATACGTCCAGTAGTAGAAATGCTGACTCAAATGATATCTCTATTTTAATGTTTTGAGGCTTCATGTTGTTTTCCATCACAGTTGTTCTAATGTACATTCTTGTCAATGTTATTCAGAGTTCCTTTTTATCCACATCCTCACCAAACCCTTGTTATCTTCCCTCATTTTTATAAGGGTCATTCTAACAAGTATGAGGTAGTATTTAATCACAGTAGTTCAATTTGTGTTTCTCTAGTGATTAGTGATATTGAACTTTTGTTCAAGTACTTGTTGGTCATCTGCATGTCTTTCTTTTTTTGAGAAATGTCTGTTCAGATCCTTTGTCCATTTTTCAATTAGGTTATTTGTTTTCTTGCTATTGAGTTGTTTAAGTTTATTAACTGAATAATTTTTTTTCTGGCCTCAATCATTTTCTCTTTGTTTTGTGTCAAATTTCTATATATCCACAGGGATTTGCATCTTAATTGTAGTTTAGTTTCTTATTTTAATTTCTTTTTTTTTTATAATCTGATGGATCAATTTTTAGTCCCCCTTCCCTTATAGATATTTAAAACCCTGGTTTTTTATGTCTTCCCCCAGTATAGTATTCATAGTATTTTGATCCATTACCTTTATTTAACTCAATCCCTTTTAACCAATTTGGGCTAGTTAGGTTATAATGAAACTCTAATAGGTTAGGATCTAGCACAATAGCTTCTCTTGAGAGTAGGCCTTATTACAAAGAACAGATTGTTTTGGTTATGATATTTACAAATGCCTACGTTCTCCTCCATCTGCTAAAAGCATGAGGGAACTTCTTCTTCTTCTTCTTCTTCTTATTATTATTATTATTATTATTATTATTATTATTTGACTTTCAGTCTCAGAACCTGGGAAAGCTCCTGGAGATAAAATTCACAAATGTTAACATCCCCCTGAGATGCAGTTACTTTCAGACTTTTTCACTCTGAGGCTGTAGCAATTTATCAATAACAATTCACATTTTCTTACCCCTACACTGTTTATCACTGAGATTTCTGCTTGTTAGTCTCTGCTTCATTGAATTGTTGATTCTCTGCATTTACTTGCCTCTTTTCAGTTTGGGTGGGGAGTGTGGTTTGATCTGTGATTTCAGTAAACCTATTGATTTTCAGGCTAAGTTTTTTACTGATTAGGATGGAGTAGTGGCTTCCAAGCTCCTTCCATGTTGGAGCAGAAACAAAAATACCTCTCTGTTCTTCCCAACTCTGAAGGATATTTTGTTTATTGTAGTATTTTGAATAGGCATATTAATTTTTTTTTGTATCAGCATTTAAAGACATTCTGTCTTCTGGTTTCCACAGCTTCAGTGAGAAGTTAGTTATATTTCATTGTTACTACTCTGAAGGTAATGTATTTTTTAACTGCTCTATGGATTATGAAATGCTTAGGAATAGATGATTCTTTTGTTTATATCTTGTTTGGGGTAATTTGAAAAAATCTCAGCCAATATTTATTTAATTCTTCCTCTTGTTTAATCTCAAGTCACCAAATGCTTTAAAGATTGGACTATCTGACAGTGTCTAACATCATTTTGGGCTCAATTTTTTTTTCAATTCCAAAGTTTGAACATTTTTGGGGGGCTTATATTTGAGTTCACAACTACTGTCATTTTCTGTGTTTCATCTGCTTTTAAAACCATCAAGAATATTTTTAATTTCAAAGATTATATTTTCCATTTCTAGAAGGTCTATTTGACTAAAAATATAGTAGTCCTCCTTTTTGTGGTTTTACTTTCTATGGTTTCAGGTACCAGTGGTCATCTGTTGTTCAAAAATATTATTATGGTGCAATAAGGAATTAGCATATTTTAAGAGAAAGTGAGAGACCATATAATTTTATTATATTTATTATATTTATTAGAGTATATTGTTATAATTATTCTATTTTACTATTATTTATTATTGTTAACTCATTACTGTGCCTAATTTATAAATTAAATTTGTGTGTGTGTGTGTGTACACAGAGAAAGAGAGAGGACATAGTATGGTTTGTATTATCTGTGGTTTCAGACATCCATTGGGGGGGTCTTGGAACATTTTCCTCACACATAAGGCACAGACTACTATAAATACAAATTTTCTGCTGAAATACTATTTTCAGAACATTTTAAACTTATTTTCTTATGCCTTAATTAACATAATAATCATGGTTAAATTCTTTATTAACTCTGTGCATAACTACTACATCTGCTTTCATTACCTATTTTATGTCTTTACTGTTAGTTATGTTTTCCTTTTTTATCCCATAACTAGTAAAATTTTATTGTATGCAGGACATGATGAATGATATGCTGTATCCTCTTGGTTCAGTTACTGTCTTAGTCTGTGTTATGTTACTATAACAGAATAACGGAGTAGTTAATAATGAAAAAAAAATTGTTGTCTCACAGTTCTGAAGTCTAGGATGTCCAAGATTAAGTCTCTGGCATCTGTCAAGGGCCTTCTTGCTCAATGGCAAAGGGCAAAGAGGCAAAAGTAGCCAAACTCATTGTCTTATAATGCTATTAATCTCACCCATGAGGGCAGAATCCTCATGGCCCCATCACATTCAAAGATCCCATCTTCTGATACCACCACAATGGCCACCAAAAATTGACATGAGTTTGGAAGGGGACAGATATTAAATTCTAGCAGTTACCTCATAGAAAAATTTTGGATTATTTAGCTAGTTGTCTAGGCTCATTTTCAGACTTCTTAGGGTAGATGTAGATCCCTTCAATTTTTTTTTTTTAATTCAAGGGACTACTTACTTTAGGAACCTGCTGCACCCAGACACACTGATTTTTGTCACTTCTGCTCAGCAAGTCTGTCACTCTTTGCTTGTCTCTGGTTTTGCCCTACTACTTTGGAACATGCCCTCAGGATGAAAGTTGGGTTTAGTGTAAGGTTTTCCTTTTCTGTTTTCCTTTTGTCAATGTTCATATCCTGTGATGGCTGCCTTCCAATTTCTGTAAAACAATTGTTTTACAGTTCACATCTGATAGCACACAAAATTCATGTGGTTTCTTTAGTAATTTCTTCTCCTTTTTACTTGACATTTGGTAACTCACCTCATGAAGTTACTTTAATTAAGTGATGTTAACTGATTTTAACAAATTATTTTAGTAATAATTTGAGTAATAAAACAAGTCTTTTATTTTTCTTTTGGACATGAGCATTGTTTGCCGTTGCAAGGCACCTGAGGTCACTCTGAACTCAGGACCACTGTATACTAATGAAGCTTTCCAGGAACTACCTAGGCAATACAAACTTGGGTTCAGATTGACTTAATGCCTGGTGTACTTCTTATTCAGCTTTACCTTAGTACTGCATAATTTGGTTTATCTAGGGATCACGTCATTGTCATAGAATGACAAATTTAGAAAAACAAAATGAAATTATTATACATAAGTATAACTTTATAGTTTAAATATTCTTTTTAAAAATTTCTAATCTTGGCAGTTTCTGTGCATTGATTTTTGATTTCCTCCACAAACTAAGCTCTCAAAATGAAACTTAAAATTCTCTGGGACTGACAAATAACATTAAGGACACAATGTCTCCAGTGCTTTGCTTACCTTTTGAGTTTCTTAATTTTCTTTTCAATTCATATTCTGCTAATTTCTATCTTGTCAGGTTCTTAATGTTTTCAAAAGGTGTGTGTGTGTGTGTGTGTGTGTGTGTGTGTGTATGTGTGTGTGTGTGTATGTTTGACTGTGGAGTTCATCAATTTTTTTTTTTGTTTTTGTTAGGAGGTATGATGGATCTAATAACTCAGAAATCCAGTGATAGTTTCTACAATTCTTCTTCAAATTGCATAACAGTAATAAGTACATTTGGTACTTAATTAAAATATGATTTTATATATCATTACTGATACTATTTATTAAAATTTGAATTTCCATTTCCTTGAAATAATTTTATTAATTAAAGATTAAACTTATGCTTTTTCTGACTGAACTAAGTATAAAAATGCTTTTTTATCCACCCCTCTCCATCTCGCCCTCAGAGCCGTTTGGATGTGTATTTTTCACAGAACCCAGCAGGAACATCTGTTCAAAATATGCTCCACTGGAGTCAGGTATAACAAAAGGAATAAGGTAACAGATAAGTAAATTATCCTCCTATGATAGAAGGGGATAGACATCATAGGAAAGAAAAGTGTATCTCAGTGTGATTAACTTACACTACTCATGGTTTACTTCATCATTATAGAAATCATGCCACTGCTGTAGAATGACAAATTCATAGGGATAAAATGAAGTTATTACATATTTGTATGAATCTTTATTGTTTATATAATGTATTAACATCATATCTATTGGATCCTCTAAACTTCAGCAATAACAGAGCAATATAACTATTTCTTACAAATGACAAAATGTTAGTCAGAACAGAAGAATAGGGACCATCTATTCCACACACCTCACTTGACTTGTCCAAGATTCAAAGCTAAGACTAGAACCCAGTTCTCCTGATGCCTAGTCTGAAATGCTTTCTCTAGACTGCACTTTTTTTCTATGTTAAGCTGTAAGCCTTTTGAGGACCATGGGAAAGTTTTGTTCACTTTTGTATTTCCAAGACTAACATTTCTTGGCATATAATAGATATTAAACTAATATTTGTTTAATGATTGATACTGAAAAAGAGAAAAATCAAGTATGAATGTAATCTTAATGTTCAAGCTAGGACAATGCAGTAGAAAGAACATTTTTCTGGGAATAAAAAACCAAACATTAATTTTTTCTTTGAACCTTACTGGGAGGGTAACATTGAATAGTTGGTTTAACCTTTCTGAATAAGTTCCTGATTTTTAAAATGAAATCATTCTTTAACCTAACAAAAATATTATAATAGAATGATGATTATAAAAGTTCTTTAAAGCTAATAAACACTAAAAATTAAAGTATTATTAAGATATTAGATAAAACTTTTCCAATTACAAAATGTTTACATTTATGAAGTAATTGTTTTGATGTAATCATTATAAATATTCATTATAACTTATCTTTAAATTTTGTTTACCCCTGATGTTTGCTTCATCAGGAAAATCAAATTAATCTTTGTATTTCTTCATCCATTATAATAAGGTTTTCTGAGTGCCTACAATGTGCCCTATATTGTACTATACTCATGGGAAACACAAGTGAGCTAAACAAAGATGCTTGTGTTCCTTAAGCTTACATTTTAGTAGTTGATACACAAGGAATAAAGAATAAGGTAGGGGGCTGGAGTTGTAGCTCAGTCATAGAGCACTTGCCTAGCATGTGAGAGGCACTGGGTTCAATTCTCAGTACTGCATATAAATAAATAACATAAAAGTCCATTGACAACTAAAAAAATCTTAAAAAAAAAGAATAAGGTAGTAGTAGTGCCTGGAGCAGTAGCACACCTGTAAGCCCAGTGGCTTGGGAAGCTGAGGCAGGAGAGGAGGATCTTGAGTTCAAAGTCAGCTGCAGCAAAAGCAAGGCACTAAGCAACTCAGTGAGACTCTGTCTCTAAATAAAATACAAAATAGGGCTGTTGATATGGCTCAGTGGTTGAGTGTCCCTGAATTCAATCCCTGGTACACCTCCACCACCTGCCCAAAGAAAGAAAGACCAACAACAACAACAAAAAGAATAAGGTAGCAGGTAAGTAAATTATCCTCATATGATAGAATGGGATAGACATCATAGGAAAATGGGGTAGGGGGAGGAATAGGAGAAAAGGATTAGGCATTCTTATAAGTGGATTATACATTTGAACAGAGAGATTAGGCTAAGAGGTCTCAGTAAGATGATGACAGTTGAAAAATGATTTAAAGGAGGTGAAGGAATTGACAATATGGACAATATGAAATGTCTTCTTAGTCCATTAATGCAACTAGAGTAAGTTTGGTAGTTTATAATCAGAAGAAATTTATTTCTTACAGTTCTAGAGGTTAGAAAGTCCAAGATCAAGATACTGGCAGATTCAGTGTCTGATGAGAGCTTGCTTTCTCCATTAGAGATGCATTTTCTAGTAGTTTCTTCACATAGTGAAAGAGGCAAAAGTCTCCTTGGGCTTATTTTATAAGGGCACTAATCCCATTCATGAACCTAATCTCTTTCTAAAGGTCTCCACCTAATACCATCACCTTGGTGGTTAAAATTTCAACATATGAATTTGGGGAGGACATAAACATTTAGATCATAGCATGGGGGATAGGGTTTACAGAGAGAGAGAATAGCCAAAGAGAAGCACACTTAAGAAACAAGTGCAGTTCTGAAATGAGTAAGTAAGAAAGTAGTAGAAAAGAAAGGCAAAAAAGAATCTATCATTGCAAACACTTTGGCATTCACCCTGTGTGAAGCCACTGCAAGTTTTTCATCAACAGGTGACACTCAATGAGCTATACTTTTACGGGATCACTTTGGCTGCTATGTTGAGTCTACTGTAGTGGGGCAAGGGTGGGAGCAGTGAGAAAGTTAGGAAACTTCTGCAGTAGTCCAAAGAAGAAATAATGATGGCTTGGACTGATGTATTGACAGCAGAGGTTGTAAAAATGGTTGAATTATGAGCATCCACATGCATATCATGTACATACAGCTGATGAGATACAGTCATGGATTCTGTGAGGAGTGAAAGAAAAGGAGAGAAGCTTGGATGACTCTAAAGTTTTCGACCTAAGCAATGAAAAGATGAAGTGACTCTTAAAAGATATAGGGAGATTCGATGGTAGAGTGGAGTTGGAGGAGAGGTAAAATGTTCTGTTTGTTAAGTTTATACAGCCAAGCAACGAATATGATTAAGCAGTTTTATATAGCAATATAGAACTAAGGAGATACTTATTAAAAGAAGATGAATATTTTGAATATAAATGGCATGTAAAGTTGAAAGACTAGATGAGAACACAATAGAACGAGTATAGATAGAGATGAGGAGCAAGGATTGAGTGCCGAATTATTGAAGATTAAGATTTAGCAGAGGCTAAATCAGCCAAGGAGACTGAAAAGAAGCAGTAAGCGAAACATGAAGATCACTGTATTCTAGAAGTTAAGGAAGTATCTCAAGGATGAAGGAATGAACAACAGTATCAGATAACATTGATAAGTAATACAGCAGAATTCCTTGGAGTTGACCAAGCTTTTATAAATATTTTTCTCGTGATTTTTTACCAGCCTTTCTGAGTTGGCTAGACTCTTTTCAAGATGATATATTTTGTCTTCATTATCTGATGTTCTGGCTTCTACTTGCTCCACTCTGTTAGTGATACTCTCATTTGAGTTTTTAGTTTGGTTTATAGTTTCCTTCATTTCTAGAATTATTGTTTGATTTTTTTAATAATCTCTATCTCCTGATAAAGATGCTTAATTTCTTCTTTTATCTGTTTATGTAATTCATTTTAATGTGTTCTTTCACTGTTTGAATTTGCTGTCTCATATCCTCTTTAAGGTTCCATTCCATCTGTCTAAGGTATTCCTTGAGTTCTTTATTTGACCATTTTTCTGATGCCTCTAGGTCCTCCTGAATGTTTAGGCTGTCCTTCATTGTTTGTACTCCTTTTCTTCCTTGCTTTTTCATGCTGCTCATGTTACTTCTTGTTCTATTTGACTGCTGAGTTACTGTTTACACCTGTAAATTTATTTGATGCTTGGGAGGAAAGGTATTAGAAGGGAAGGGAAGAAGTCACTGTTGCCGCTGGTTTCAATGGAGTTATCGCCTCCGCCTGTGACGTCAGTTCTCTGCCATGGTGGTATCCCTTGCAAATGGTGACAGTTCGTTCCCTTTGCTGGGTGACCAATGCAATTGGTGGGTCCTGACTGGCTCTCTGAAGCCCCGTTTCAATCCTGTGGCCACTGCCTATGAAGGCTCGGTTGGCATTAACCTCTGTAGTTTCAGAAGGGCCAACCAATTGTTTCAGCAGGATCGTTTAGTGCTGAGTCACAGCAGTTTGTCTGCGAGAAGCAGGCGAACGGGAGCTTGAATTCAGCCGATCCGGGCTCCGTGTGTGTTCTGAGAGGCCCAGACTGTTCGCCCCAGATCCACGTCAGCTCAGCATTGCCTAGTGATCCTCTCTCTGAGCTTGCAGAAGTTCGGAAGGGTCAAAGTGAAATCCTGGTTTCATTTTAGGAAAAAGCTGTGCTCGCCTTAACATAAGAGAACTCCTGATCAAATCCAGTCAGGGTTTGAAAGTTGTCTAAGTTTCATTTCACTTCCTTCAGGCCACCTCAAAGACAGAAGCTTTTATAAATGTTAAGGTTATAAATTATCTTGAACACTTTTGGTGGAAGGATCTAAGTAGTGTGTGCTGGTAAATATTTTATAACTTGTGGGGGTGAAGACATAAGTAACATTTGTCAATTTCTGTGGTGAGGTTATTCCTGTCATGATTGATTTTAACCAACCAATGCAATACCACTGTACTTAAAGTTGGGAAAAGATGCCCATAATTAGATCTTATTAATAGAAACTGGTTCTAGCATACTACTGGATGGAGATGTAAGACTATTTAGATTGGATTTTTAAAATGATTGTTATTATGATTGCCCAATAATTTGACAAATGACATTCAGTTGCACACTTTAAATGGTTAAAATTATAAATTTTATTTTATGTGTATTTTACTACAATCTTTAAAAAGATGATTAATGAGAGTAAGTGGAGATGGTGAAAACCCTTCTCTAGAATCTTGCTGAAAGGAGAATAAAAATATTTGTCAAGAGCTGTGGTAGGAAATGGGGAAGTGAATCTATCTTCTGAGACAATTAACAGCAGGTTTTTACATTAATGAAAATGCCCTACTAAAGAGGAGAAAATTTATGAAGAGAGAAAGAGATGGAATTCTAGGATAGATGTGATCTAGTAGACAAGTAATAGATAAGCTTTTGAGCTAACAGAGATAATATCCCTTTTTTATTTGCTGGTAAGTATATTGATGTAGTAAAAGTCTCTGAATTTTTATGATTGCTGCAGTTTTTTTGTCAAAATGGGAAAGTGCATTTTAATAAAATAGAGTATGGATAGAAAAGAAAGTAGAAGTCAGTGGAGCAAAGAGAAGGTATTACATAATTGCCCAGAAGCATGGACAAGGAAATGGATGAGGGAATTATGGTATGGTTGCTGGGCAAGACTAATGGCCTGCATGAGGTGTGCAATCATCAATTTGAAGTGACTTCAGTAAGCGTAGTGCTTAGTTTTTTTTTTCCTCCAGTTTTGTTCAGTCTCATTAGTATAGGCATATAGTGTGTAGGAATTGGATTTTTCTACAATTTTTTTTGTGTGAAGCAAGTAGGATGATGCAATGCAAGTAGAAAAGTGTTGAGTAGATATAAGTGAGTCATTTTAATGATTGATTATGGAATTTCAGCTGGATAAGAAGGAAAGAAAGTACATTGAAGGAATAAGATATAATAAAAGGTTGAAAGGATGAATGGATGCACAATCTTGGCAATGTTGAAGAATTTTTGACATTGCTATGTCAGGGAGAATTAGGTGATGTTTAGAAAATGGAATGGATAAAAATTAGAGTATGCAAGGACTGAAGTATTATAAAGGTTTATGATAAGGTCACAGGGTGAATGGTTAGTATAAGATGGGGGACAAGATCATTGAGGTGAAGAGCTCAAGGAATTAAAATGAGGTTGTGAGAAAGATTAAATCGCTAAAACTGAAGGCAGGAATAGTTTCAGAGGGAGTAACAGTAAGCAGGAACTAAACAGGCAGAACAACCTGTAGTTTAATAGATGATCACAACAGCAAAAAAAAAAGTAAGTAATATAATTGAATGGTATGATATTCAGAGCTTGGAGGAAACTTCTTAGAGAGGAGGAAGTGAGAATAATTTAAAAGAAGAAATAATGAACAAAGAGGATTAACTAACACTCAGGTCCAGTGAACCCAGGTATATGGGAGAAAAAAGTTGCACCACTTGAAGGAGCTATGAGGGAAGTATCATTCTCAGGAAAAAAAAAAACAGATTGTCAGTAGAGCAGGAAGGTGAAGAGGCCAGTGAGAGGTTTAAGATACAGAGGTGATGATGGAATTCCAGATAATAAGAGTTTTAGGAGTTAAAGAGAGTTGGGAAGAATTAGAATAAGGATTATATGGAGCCATATAAGGTTTAGAAATCCATAGATCATAAGTAACCTGAGAGTGTGACCTTCTTGTAATGAAAACACAAAGAGAAAGTAAGCATAATCAAATTGAATCTAATAGACTGAAAGCCAGTGTTAATGGTGAGGTTAAGGGTGTTTAGGAGTGAAGGAAGGGACAGCTTCTGAGACACACTCTTGAGTCCTGTTGGTTGAGGCAAGGTTGTTTAGAGAGGTGTCACAGTCCCAATGCAAGGCACTCACTCTTGACCTCTATTGATGAAGCTGAGGATTTTTGAGGAAACCTAAGATTACTCAAAACACATAGGCCCCTTTGGGGAAGTAAAAGACTTTGGGGACACATGCATTTGTGTGAAGATGATAGACTCACATCTTTAGATTTCCTGCCCCCATCTCCACCCCTTCCATTTCTTACACTAAACAAAGGAAGGGAGAAGGGAAGAAGCCCCCCTGCATAAATACCAGCAGACCCAGTACAAAGGGGAATCATGCAATACATGCCTTAATTTACATCAACTGCCACCATAATGAGCAAGTATATATGGTCTTCTTCTTTTTTTTTTATGGTCTTCATTTTTGTTTTTCTTTTAGCTTCTTCATTGTAACCACTTGAAAGCTTATGATTGGGGCAGTCCTGTTTTGAATTTTCCTCATTTTAATCAAGTATGTCATTATGTATATTCTAAAAACCATCTTCCTTCCCATTTTGTTAAGATGACCCTCATAGATAAGAGTCGTCTGTGAATCTGCAGAGTATTATTACATAGTGAGACCAGCAAGTTAAAATCATATTGTTTTGGAATCATATTGTTATATCCAACCAAAGCAGCTTTTCCATACTTTTACATATCTTAATAGGAAATACCCTGGATAAACTTAGAGAAGTTGACAGTAGTAGAAGAATTCATCATCCTTCGTCTGGAAAACTATTTTATTTATAATTTGCACAACTCTGTACTTGGTAAATATGAGATAAAATGCATAATGTATTTCTTGACCTTAAAACCAGTTTTTCTATTTGGGAATACAGGACAAATACATATAATAATTAGAAATAACTTAGAATTCAATGAGAACATGGTAAAAATTGTGTAAGTGTGATGACAAAATTTTTGAAATATTAGAAACTGAGCCTGTCTGACTTCAAAGTTTCTACTTCCCTACTACACTTTTCTGCCTCAGCTAAATTCTGGGCCATATATAATCTGCTCATATGAAAAAGTCTGAAGTAAGATCTTAAAATCAAATTCAGTGGGATTAGAGGTAACCTTGGTTGCCAATATTTATAATTTATTAATAAACATATAGCAGTAATACAGTCACAGAAAATTTGAAATGCTTTCAAATACCTTCAAGATACTTCCATGCTTTACAAGAAATACTGAACTTACCTGTGTGGAATCTTTGAATATTCTGAATTAAAACAATCTATTAGCTGGGTGTTGTGGTACATGCCTATAATCCCAGCAATTTGGGAGGCTGAGGCAGGAGGATCACAGATTCAAGGACAATCCCAGCAACTCAGCAAGTTCCTGTCTCAAAATAAAACAAAAAGTGCTGGGGATGTGGTAGAACGTCCATGAGTTGAATCCCCATTACTATAAAGCAAACAAAATAAAAAGTAAATTACCTAGTGCCGCAGTCCGGCTGCAGCAAAATAACCGGTGGATGACGAATAACTTGTGTACGTTGATACAGCAGGAGAGGGAGCCATTTATTGTAGGACAGGAGTGGTATTTATACATTTCACACAGCTTATCTAATTAACATAAACTAGATACAGCAGTTAACCAATAAAGAATCTCCACACTTAATTGCTCGCTTTTGTTACTTCACAAACCACTCCCTCTGGCATTTTGCCAGGCGCCATCCAGACTTGTTTACAGACTCTAACATTTGCTAGGCGCCATCCTGACTTGTTTACAGACTCTAACAACCTAGTTTCGATTTATGCTTGTTTCTGAGTAAAAATTGTAAGATCTGTTCTTTCATACTCGTTGCTTCCATAGATTCACTGTTTAATCCACCAGATTAAATTTATTTTAAAACATCATTTAATAATTTAATAAATAAAACTTTCTAATGTATCATTTTCTGTGAAAACTCTTTTTTTAATTCATTTATTTTTAGACAAATTCTCCATTGTACAATGTGACAAATATGAATGTGACAACTGCAACTTGGAATGGTAGAAATGACTTATTGGCTGACCTGGAAGATGTTAAAATTTTACTTTCTGAAATCACAAACCTCATTAATCATAAAACTATTTCTTACTATAATCATATAGACTTTTTGTATGGATTAGATGCTTATCATCAAGTTTACCATGAAATCCGTGATATTATCCAAAAAAATCTATAAAGAACCATGATACTCTGTGTTTAAGGACTTATATCATTCCTATTAAAATTCAATTATTATAAGCTAAGAGTGATGGCACATGCCTATAATCCTGGCTATTCAGGAGGCTAAGACTGGAGGATTTCAAGTTCTAGACTAATCTGCAAGACTCTCAGCAACTTAGTGAGTCGTCTTAAAATAAAAAAGGACTGGGGATGTAGCTCAGTGATGGAGTGCCCCTGGTTTCAATTCCCTGTGCCAAAAAAGGAATCCAATCATTTTTTTTCTTACTATGTATGTTTATTCACATATTAGAGTATTCAATAAAACAATTGTCTATTTTCTCCTTGTTCCCAGACTATCTGTTCATTAAATCAGTGGTATTTATATTTACAAGGAAAATGGTAGACATATATCAGTACAGTCTATTGAGTTTCTTAATAGAATTTAAATACCTAATATCAGAAACAATAATCTTACCATTTTTTTGCAAGAGATAACCTTTTAAAGAAAGTTCTTTTTTTTCTTCAAAAGAATATGAACTAATGTTATGCATAAAATTAGAGTCTGGAAGATACCTGATATGAAAGCTAATTTTTCTCTCTGCTGAATGGAGAGTAAAAACACTTTCCTAGCTGTGAAAAAAATTGGGGGGAAAAATAAGAAGAGGCCAGCACCATGGCTCATGCTTGTAATCCTAGCGGCTCAAGAGGTAACACAAGAGGATTATGAGTTAAAAGCCATCCTCAGCAAAAGCAAGGCACTAAGCAAATCAGTGAGACCCTGTCTCTAAATAAAATACAATATAGGGCTGGGGATGTGGCTCATTGGTTAAGTGCCCCTGAGTTCAATCCATAGTAAGAAAAAAAAAAAAGAAAAAAGAAGAAGAGGCCTGGGTTTCAGTGTAGTGTTGCTGCCTGCTGGTTGCTTTAGGCAGTGACCCAGAGGCAAGGACATCATAGAAACCATATGGGGTTGTGCCTCACTTCCCCAAGTACAGAGCCCAGTAAGACTGAAGTTAGCTTTCCAGCACAGTGTGTGTAAAAAGTAGCAATCGTTGAGGTATATTCCTCTGAAAATATATCTGAGTGTATTTTAGTGCATAAAAGATCCAAGAGTTTCCTTAACACCAATGAAGTATAGATATGTTCAGGAGAGTACTAGAAGATGGGAAGAGACTGAAGATGTAGGATGAAAGGATGCTGTCAATAGCGGTGGCAAAACAATGGCATCAGTGGCAGGCCCTAAAGGCATTCAGACTTCCTGTTTCTGGTTCCAACATAAGGAGAGTGAACACACTAAAAAACCAACAACTTTTCTTGGATCTTTAAGTAAGGTGAAGACATAGGGGAAAAGGTCAGAGAGAGAGACAGGTGAATACAGGGGGTTGCAGCTTACCTGAGCAGAGGCTCAAGGTAGCAGAAATAAATAGAGAACCAATGCCAAAGTAGGAAAATCTGAATGGTAAGTAATGAACTGCAAGAGACTCAGTGTGCAAAGTCTGAGAGTCAGAAACTCCAGGGGAACCCATTTATATTATATATATATATAAAATATATAAATATTTTGTTAAGTCTCACTTCCAAGAGCTTTATAAGCCAAGTGAGCTTGACCAGGTTCTCACCAAGCCAAGACCAGAGCACTTTGATAACAACAAATTAGCAAGGTTTATCTCAGGGGAAACTAGTTCGCCAGAGCCTAAAACCTGGGGGAAGGGAAATATCCAACTCCACTAATAACCTTTCAATGTGTGAGAAGGAAATAGCTGGCTCTACTCACTCTAGTGCATCTAGTCACTCTAGTCCTGATGTGGGGATAGGGTGGACTTGAGAGTTCCTCTGGCTGATTAACACTTTTCATGTTTGCCCACATCATTGCTGAAAGAATTAAGTGTATCTCTATGCTTTTCCATTGGGAGAGTACATCTGGAAGCTTCTGCCTGGTTTCTCGTAGACTTTGTCCTGGGTACACTTACTTTTGCTGAATTTAATCTGTATCCATGTGTTGGAATAAAGGAAACTGTGAACAAAACAAATTTTCTGAGGCCTGTGTGTCCTTATAGTGTTATCATGTCCTAAGAGTATTCTTGGGATCTCCCAACAGAAATCTAAAAGGAAATGACAGAGGCAAGTGACTAGAACAGACCCTTCATAAAAGAGAGAATCCAAAATACCATTAAACTTTTTAAAGATGCTCCACATTTGAAAGCTTTAAAAAGATACAAAATACAAATACAACATGACGAAATGGCTAAAATTAAATAGCATGTGCCAACTGTTGTATGGGTATGTGAAACAACCAGAAATCTCATATACTGTTTGTGAGAACATAAATTGGTGAAGTTAACTTTGGAAAGTTCTTTGAAATTGACTGTTATTGTTTTAAATACATACACCCTATAACCTGCCAATTCTATAACTGAGAATATACTCAACAAACTTGCAGGCAAATGTGTATGAAAATGTACAAGAATGTTTATAACAGCATTATTTTAACAGCAAGAATTGGAAAAACATCAAATATCCATGCACAGTAGCAAATACATACAATAACCTTGATTAGACAGAATGTGAACATAACACCCTATTGGAGAATGTTATAACAAAAGACAGAGAAGAGAGAACAATGTGCATTTACTTTAGCTGTAAGTATGTCAATATAAATTTTTGACACACGAACAAATATTCAATATTCTTTAAGATGAATTGTCATTTCTGCTGGGGTCCAGCCCTAGCAGGGTCCAGGGATCCTGAAGGATGAGTGGTGTCAGCGAAAAGATGAGACAGGAGTCGTTTCATTGGAGTAATCTCCAGAGAGAGAGAGCTCTAATGCAGCTTTCTCTGGGTCATCTTATATTACAATTTTCTCATCATTATAGATTCATAATACATCATTGATTATACAATTTCAAAACTTTGTCAAGACATAACATTTCCTTAACCATAATTAGGGGTATAGAAAAATGTAACATCAATTTACATTTTTCCAGGATGTGACTTTTTAGTTATCAATCATTAATAAAATGCGTCACTAATTTACATTTTTTTCAGATTTTCCCAAGATGTACTATTTTCTTATTAACTAATGCCAAACTACGTAACCAGACTCTAAGTCTCCTAACCTATCATTAACCTTTAAGTTTTAAAGTACACCTGCACTTTTATTTCTAATCTAAAATTCCCATCTAAAAAAGATCCCTTAAATCTTATACTAAAAATATCCTAAAGTTTATAAACCATTCTTAAAACATATCAGAAACCCATATAACTAAAAACTTAAGAATTCTAAACCCAAGAATCTAAATAGAATAATACTTCTAACATTATTCTAAAAATATCTTTTACAAAGCTACTTTAATTAATTCCTAAATTTATTCTCATAAAACTGGTTGAGCTGCTCTCTCAAAGAGTTTCTTTATTTCTCAATCAAGGTGCACTAGTTCTTATATCTTTATAATCTTTCTCAATAAAAAGTAAGTTCTAAACATCAGTCCACTTTCTGCCAATATTAAGTATGCTCATTATAAATCCCTATGTGCAGTAAAAGAGGGTTTATAGAAATGAAAAGAATGTACCCTTATATGTCTTGACTTTCCTAAGTGTATAACATAACTTTCTTTAATCAAGAATGAAACTACATATGGTGGGTTTTGTATAATGAGCACAATGATTAGGTTTTCTAAAAGACCAGAAATATGGGCTTGGGTTCTAGTTGATATAATCAATGTGGTGCCTAAAATTCTCGTGACCTTTCAGAGAATGATTGTTGTCCATTATCAGTTTTGTCTTCAATGTGTTGAGATAGTAGAGCAGCTTTCTACTTTGTCCTTGATATGCTGAGGGGTAGTAGAACAGCCTTCAAGGCATGAACTACCTGTTATGTTCTAGCCATCTGAAATTTAATTTGGTTTGGCATTTAACATACTCATGCCTCCAGTCAGGAACATGAGCATGAAAATGAGAAGTCCCAATTACATAAAAAAAGGGTCTCATGGTTTCGGTTTCTCAAGAACCAGCATAGCTTTGCCAGCATTCATCCTCACTGTGACCTTGTCAAGACAGTGGGGGAGCGGCTTTGCCAGCACTTATTTTCACTGTGACTTTGTCAAGACACTGAGAGGGGGATCGCCTTCACCACATTTCATTATGTAGTATTATTGACAATATTAATAGGATAACTGCCTGAGAAAATTGTTATATTTAAGCTCCTGAAAATCCTCTTGTCCACTGCCTTTCTTCACATCAAGCTTTGAGGGTTCTTTAGCTCCAATATGTCATATGCAGCCCAACCAATTAGCTAGATACATTCCCATTTTAATAAATCATTCCCTAATAATCACCTCTGAATTTTTTTCATAATAATAATAAAGGTTTTTCTTAGCTTCTTTGTTGATTTATAACACATAAAAAAGTACAAATCCCATGTGGACAGAGCAATAAATTAATACAATGAATCTGTGTACCCACTATCCAGACCAATAAATAAAACACTACTGACACCCAAGAAACAGGTTATCACTCACCTTTGTCTTCAAAAGGTAACCATGGTCTTGACTCCTAATCTTATAAATTAGTATGTTTTTGAAATTTGTATTAAGCAAGTTAGCCATTCTTAGTTTTGCTTCTTTTACTCCCAATTAGGTTTTGTGGAACTATTATGTATTATTGATGTAGCAATGGTTTTTTAATTTTCATTAATGCATACTATATTATATGAATAAGACATATTGGAGCTAAAGAACCCTCAAAGCTTGATGTGAAGAAAGTGGTGGACAAGAGGATTTTCAGGAGCTTAAATATAACAATTTTCTCAGGCAGTTATCCTATTAATATTGTCAATAATGCTACATAATGAAATGACAATTCACCTTAAAGAATATTGAATATTTGTTCATGTGTCAAAAATTTATATTGACATACTCACAGCTAAAGCAAATGCACATTGTTTCTCTCTTCTCTATATGATGTTATAACTTTCTTCAATAGGGTTTATATTCACCATTCTGTCTAATCAAGATTATT